GTTCTTTCAGGGTAAAAGAAGCCTGAAGTGGCGAAAAGAAGATACTGGTAATCATGGTCTCTATGGTAGTGTTGTTTCTGTCATTCTCAAAAATTTTAGATAAGAACCAACTAAAATTTGGACAGCCGTATTTGGAAGAGCCTTTTTAATTCATCATATCAGTCCTTATTTTCCTTTAGAGTTTAGATTTCTGACTTAAGCAACATGTTTACTTTGTTCCCTCCTGCTAACAGTGTAGAGACTATGACAGCATTGCTTTGTAATACTGAGATACTCTTTGGCAGCCTTGCTGTTTTTGAGGACAGGTACACCTGTGACTGGGAGCAAAGTCACTGTTTTAGCTTGCCATGGGGACCTTATTATAGAGGAGAAAACTAAGAAATTGGATTGAGTTTGCTTGCGACTGGAAAAAAAATGGAAAAAAATGGTAATCTGTTCATATATGACATCATGAAATAAAAAGAACAACTCTGCACCCTGTTTTAAATAAGTCAGACAAATTCAAATCCCTTAACAGAGCGTATTTAGCTCCCCTAAAGTGGAGTTTAGGCTGAGTTCTCACCTAAATTAAGACCAGTCTGTGCTAGGTAGTGACAATAGCCTTCCTACATAAATACTGGAAAGAAACAGGCACTTAGAAGACACGATTTATTTGATCTTCATTAGAAGCCTGCATTAAGGAAAGATTAATCTTGTTTCTAGGTGCCTATTTCTACCATTAAATGCATGTGTGTGGGGTGGGGGTTGTTTTGTCTTCTTTTTTCTTTAAGGTGGCAGCAGGCCGAGAATGGTACATTCACACTATTTATATGGTCCAATCAAAAGAAAATGCAAATAGGCACAATGGCAAAAGAAGCCTTGACTTTCACCATGTGTTGTCTTCTGCTAACAGCAGCGTTAACACCACAGCCTTGAAACGCAGCAGAAGAGCCAACCCAGAAACCCCTGCCTTCATGCGAGACATCGGAGCACATAAAAACAGGGGCACAAACATTCAGCATGTTGCTCTTGACCGTTCCAACAAAGCTGTTGTCATCCAGAAAGACATGTTCCCAACCAGCATGCCGCATCTCAGGCCAGTTTTGGAAGTCACAAGCAAGGACTCTGAAAATAATATTGTACCTGTTACTGGAGGATTGACAGGATCGCTGTTTCTGGTCTGCACTGTGGTCCTAATTCTATTTTTGTTGAAACAAAGACAACAGCCCTCTGCTGGGAAAAACAAAGCAACTATCCGCTACTCCAGCAGCAGTGAAACTATGACCGCACGCCACAGCAGCAGTGACAGCTCAGAAGTCTAGCCAGTTTTTCAGGCGCTTGTCTTTTAAGATATGTGATTTCATCAAAAAGCAGGCTCTCAAAAAAAAATCTAGCTCTTGGATGACGCCTTTGCACAGGCAGTTGGCCACTTTGTTTCTAATGCTAAGTCAGTCAGTCAGTCAGTCAAGTCATGCATTATTATTGATGAACAGCTAATGCTGACCGGGTGTGTGTATTAAGTTCAGGTGTGAACGACTTATTTATGGAATTCAAGCTAGTACCCCCCCCCCCATGAACAGGTTATGCTTTTTTATTATTTTTTTTTTTTAAACCTAGATAATGTTTTGAATATCCAGCTGTAAACGTGCCTTACAATCCACCATGGAAGGCTGATACTTGAAGGGAGGTGGGTTTTCTTTTCTTTCTTTTCTTTCTTTTCTTTCTTTTCTTTCTTTTCTTTCTTTTCTTTCTTTTCTTTCTTTTCTTTCTTTTCTTTTCTTTTCTTTTCTTTTCTTTTCTTTTTCTTTTCTTTCTTTTCTTTCTTTTCTTTCTTTTCTTTCTTTTCTTTCTTTTCTTTCTTTTCTTTCTTTTCTTTCTTTTCTTTCTTTTCTTTCTTTTCTTTCTTTTCTTTCTTTTCTTTCTTTTCTTTCTTTTCTTTCTTTTCTTTCTTTTCTTTCTTTTCTTTCTTTTCTTTCTTTTCTTTCTTTTCTTTCTTTTCTTTCTTTTCTTTCTTTTCTTTCTTTTCTTTCTTTTCTTTCTTTTCTTTCTTTTCTTTCTTTTCTTTCTTTTCTTTCTTTTCTTTCTTTTCTTTCTTTTCTTTCTTTTCTTTCTTTTCTTTCTTTTCTTTCTTTTCTTTCTTTTCTTTCTTTTCTTTCTTTTCTTTTCTTTTCTTTTCTTTTCTTTTCTTTTCTTTCTTTTCTTTTCTTTTCTTTTCTTTTTACTTGCAGGTACATCTAGCTTTCACGGAACTATTTGGTTTTGTTTTGATTATCAGTAATTATTTCTAGGTAGGAAGGCGTTACTAGTATTAGACAAGGGAAGGTAAGTAGTAGATGATAGTGTTCTTTTTTTAAATGAATGATAGCAACAGGTTTGTCTCAAATTCCAGTGAGGACGTCAGACCTATGCAGAGCAGGAGGAGACTCACGCAGGTACAGTTGTAATTGCAGTTCTGCTGTAAACATATGGAGAACACTAGTATTAAGGCTTAGGTACTGGCATAAGTGCTTTCAAACACTCTTAAAGAGGTTCTAGTACTTGTACAACACTACTTGTGACAGTTTTCCCCGTATTGTGTGATGATTACCCGTATTGGAATTTCCCTTGCTTTACACACAGACGCGCACACGCACCCCCCATCTAAATATAGGCAAATACTTGTAAACGGTAGCTTCTGTTGTCAGTTGTTAGGCCTTTCTCTAGAAGTGGGGAACTTAACTGTATCATTTATACAGCAGAAATTATTTGTTTTACTGCTATCTATTTGAAAAAAAATTGCGTTTATGTTACTAGTAGAACACTAGGGAAGCTAGTGTTTGTTTAGCTTATTTCTCTGTCTGCAAACTGGCACTTGAAAATTGGATCCACAAATGAATGGCTGCTCAGCTACTTTTTTAATACTTCCTTCCTTGCCGCTTCCTCCAAAGGTTTTTCCTGTGTCGGCTAGTTGGAAACTACCATGGCTTGTTGTTTTGTTGTTTTGTTTTGTCTTGGTTTTTTTTTTTTTTGGGGGGGGGAGGGGCCTGCAAAGAGGCATGCTTTTAGAAGACATCATCTTCAGTCTTCCTGCAGCATTTTGGTTTAGGCGACATTACGTCTAAGCTAAGTGGAATTTAGAATGATGTCTTCTTCTGCAGCTGCCACGACATTACAGCTTGTAGAATTTTTTTTGTGAATCGACTCTAACAAGGCTGCTGCAAATGGTAAGTAAGTTCGACTTTTTTTTTTTTTTTTAAAGAGCAAAATATAGTTACTGAACCTGTTCTCATCTGGTGGCTGCAAATTAGCTACCTGCAAACAGAAACTCACTTAATGCATCAGTAACAATAGTGCTGCTGTACCTGAAATTTGCATGTTTAAAGTCTTAGCTTTTTCTCAAGTCTAGAGTTGCGAAAGTTCAAGAGTTCAAAAGAAGTGATTCGCTAGGGAGTCATGCCTCTGTGTCTACACAACACTGATGCCTTTTGATATTAAGTGTTCTTGAACGAGCCAACAATTGAGTAAAACAATTCTCAACTCAAATTGAGACTTTGTTCTGTCCTGTTCCCCCCATGTCCCCACCCCTGTGAATTCCAAAATTATGCTTAATTAGATGATGGCACTGGGGAACACAGAATTTAGTCACAGTGATATATGCTATCCTGAGTGGTACCATTCGGCTAGCTAAGTGGAAGAGTGGGGCCTGGCGGTAAGATTACAATACAGAATCCAGCACAGCTTAGAGTCAGCATCTCTTTTTTTCACAGAAAGCGAGACCATCTCTGTATTTACGACAGCTGTTTGTAAGAAGGGATTGTTATATATACTGTTTTGTGTCCTGACTTGCTGCTGTTTGCCAATAAAAAAGTGCTACCATTCTTAAGTAGAAACTTACTTAAAAGTGTTACTTACCTTTCTACTAGCATCAATTGTAAGTGGAAAAAATGTTTTCATTTTGTTCCAAATAACACGCTGATCAGATGTTCTCGAGGAAGCAAATACCTGTCTTTCCCATTAATGTCTTGGGACACAGCATGTTTGTGCAGTAAAATAAAGTTCAATAAGTAAAAGTCAAAACCACAGAATTTCCAAAAATGGGGTTTAAATGGGTGTGGGGGGGTGGGGGTGGGGTGGCTTGTAACAAGAAAAACACACAAATTATTCTGTTGATCATAATGGAAAAAAGGTGCTCACATAGGTAAAAAAATGGTTTGGGGTGACTACATGAATGGGTATTCAAGTGGAAACATTTATGGAAAAAAGTCAAGTGAAGCCTTATTAATAAATGAAGCCTATTTATTACTTCAAGTGTTAATGGTAAAAAAAATTCAGCACAGCTGTTGCATTTAAAAAAGTGAAACTACATTAAGTACTATGTTTCTAGTTCAGTAAACAGATGAACCCGATGTCCTTTAATGACATAATAGTTGAGCATTGTACAGTACATCTTATGAAGACCCGTAAATTAAAGAACTACTTTTTTTTTAAATTTAGTGATTACAAAAATTCTGCGTTCACAGCTTTAGCTTCTTTTTTCTTCCACGACCATCAGGAGTACCATCCATTTTACGCTTCTGTGCCTGTAAGGTAAGGTTTTAAATGAGTTACTGTGGTAGAAAAAAATATTGTAAGCAAGCAATGCGTTTCAAGTCACAACAGATGGTGATGGTGTAACCTGGCAGTTTAAAATGTGGTAAATTGCAGATGCTATAATATGATAAACAAACACTCACTCACATCCCACTCAGTATCAGTATAGCAGTTCTACTGTATTCTTCCAATTCTGGAAGAGTATGATCTCATAGAGAAAAAAAATGCATAGAATCAAATCAAGATGTAATAAAGCATGTAAGTTGTGATCCTGACTTTCTGGTAGAACCACTGCTCTTGGCAAAAAAACTGAGCAGAAGGTGATATTTATTTCATTTACAAAACAGGCCCACATATTTAGGAAGAAATTAAATGTATTCTGGAAAAAGAGTAGTCTCAAGCATATGTGCTCATTTTCCTAATTACAGACTTAGGAGCTCATTTCATGACCATTTCCCCCATCCAATGAAAGTGATGGCAGACAACAGTGTCTACCTGGAAACACTTGTAACAGTCCGCATAGCCTGCACAAAACACTTCACAAGTAGAAATAATTTCTTTAGGGATAAAAATTAATCAAAAGGTCAAGTAAATTTCAGGTGTATTTTATCAAGGTAAAGTCACACAGCCTGCCAACTTAGTGATCAAAAACATAAAATGCTTATCATCTGTTCAAAAGTACGTGAGTGACAGTCTAGAACCTGAACTCATTTTCCTTTCTTTGCCATCCCTAACTGTACTAGCTGACTCATGGTGCAGAATTCAAGCCCCTCTTAACTCTCCCCTTTAAGTTTTTCTTTTTTTTTTTTTTTCTTCTTTTTGTTTTGCAAATGACTTCAGGCATTGCTTTTTCTATACAATCATTAGGAAAGCAGCTTGTCTTACATGCGCTTTAACACGGAAAGGCCTTCTTAAAGCTTACCGAAGAGGGTTTTGGTCCACGTTTCTTCTTTTCTGCCTTTTCCTTTTCTTCCAATTCCATGTTTTCTCTTTCGATCAGGGTGATTAAAGTATTGCATCTTCTCTGCAGCTCCTAAATTGCACAACATATTCAGCAGATTAGGCAGCTGCTTCATGTAAAAAATCATCATATTAGAACATTAGAAATGCCCATAATAAGTTTTTGTGTTTCATCATGCAAAAACTTGACAGCGTGAAATGCCAATGAAATCCACAAATGTTTCACGATAGTTGCTGGCTTAACATGAATGGATTTGATTGCAAATGTTTGCTTTTCAAAACAGATGTTGGTTTTGAAAAACAGTACCTTGGAATTTAAATTTCTTCTCCTGTAAGACTTTATACTTTACTGCATTTGTCATGTGTTACATCTGTGGGAAAGTCTATATAAATTTAATGTAGTGTATGCCTGCACATGTGTACATAGGCAAAAGCTACTTAATAAGCCTGCTATATAACCATGTTATCCTGGGGGAGAATTCATAGGCATTCATGAACAAAGAGCAAAACAGATGATTAACACATACCATTGCAGTTCTAGACTTGAGAAACCAGTCAAATCTGAACTGCGGCGAGTTTCGGATACACTGTCTCAATTCATCATACACATTTTCTTTATCAAAGCCAAGCTTGTGAAGCATACAGATTAGAAAGCGATCCTCCTCTTCAGTGTAATTCTTCCCTTTATTGGTACCATATGATATTCTTAGCTGGTGGAAAGGGGCTTTGTATCTGCCAATCTAAACAAAACCAATAAGATCATACAAAACTAAGACATAATTTAGAATTAGCCTGAAACTGTTTTAGATGAAAGCAGTACATCACATGAAGGCAGACAGGTGAACAATATCACATTAGTTAATCGGATCCTTTATTAGACCTCTGGTGGTAGGTCACCACATTTAAGGAACAGTAGGTTTAAGATCTGAACTTATCAGTATTTACTAAACTGCTGAGTTTGACAGCTTTGTCTGTGATCTTTTAATTAACTGTAGACTTCAGTCCGGACACTACATTTGAAAATAGCCAAGATCTGCCGCCCTTCAAAGGGTGATGATTCTCTTTAACATACTGAAAGCTCAGGAATGGGCAAACTCAGAGCTGGATTAACATGGTACATTAGACTGATGCTCATGGCTCAGCTGCATTTTGGTACTTGAGTCAGACACTCTGCTCTTCCTCTGACCTCCTTAGGAAGAAAACTAGGAAAA